TATTTTTCGATTTCATAATTCATTGATCTATAGACTGAAATAATTTTCAACTTTAGAAATTTATAGCAATTTAATTTATCAATTAAAATTAAAGTAAACATTATTGTGGACCGAGAAGTTGTTTATGTAGAATTTTGATCCTATATGTCTAAGTTAAACAATAAAAAAGATCTTGTTTATTTTAGCAGATATGTTTGATCTAGTAAAGCGTGTACCTATGCGACTGTGATTAACTGATGAGTTTGATAGCTGTTTACAAATAAATTATTCTAATCCACTAACTCTTCATTACTTGCCTTGATAATACGAGGTATAATTGTATCACGACAACAAAGCTCTGAAAATGTCCGTCAATTATTGTCTCAATTATACAATTGTAAGAGCTATAACATTTATCTCTCTTGTCTTATAAATCGCTATTATTAATAATTTAGTGTGTGCAAGGATACTATACTTCTTTTGTGAAGATAGCTATATTTTAGGTATATTGCATATTAATAAAATAATGAGTATAAATCGAAAGAAAATTTAACCAATAATCGATGGACTTGGAATGCAATCCATAACGATGCCGCATATATAAAACTTTACCAATAGTAACTTTGCAATTACAGTTATAGACACATTCATCATATGGGGCATAGGTATATGAATTTATCCGTTAATTTATTCTCTGTTTATAAAGCATCTGCAGCATTACGTAAATTAGTAAAAATGAATAGTTTATATATAATCTAAAAGAAATAATACCTATTCAAAAGCTGGATCAGTTATTTCAAGATTAATAAAATACATTTTATTCTATTGTCTCTGGTTGTATTTAAAAAATAAGATATCAGAGCTATGCTGCGGAAATTGTCCTATTCTAATTGAGTTTAAAAGGAGATTTTTATATGTGGGTGGGTGCATGATAGAAGCTTTAGTAGATATGAATTTAGCAAGTTAAAATAATTTCTACTTTAAATTCTCATGATAGCGGTCAAGCAGATATGAAGCCACACGTACCGTTACTTCTCTTTCTCTCTTCCTATACTTTCATGAAATAACGTTATACTACTGATACTGTATAAGTGCATACTGTACATTTATATCTACCAGCAGATATGAAATGGAACGCGAAGTGTTTTATTGACTACTAACACGATAATATATTGACAAAGTTATAGATAGCACAGACGTGTTATTGGGAATATCTACGTCAATTAAGGTAATGAACCTTTAAGTTTTATTAAGTAATTAGCAGAAGTTACAGTCAGTATGGTAATTTTTTCATCTTTCTTAGATTTCAGAGCCAGGATTCCTTGAAACTCTATAGAAAGTAATTAAATTTTGGATTCACTATGAGCATTGTCAATACATGTCAACTGCAAGACTATTTTGTGACTGTATTCGCTGTAATTTATTCAGTATGATACATAGCTTATTAATATTTAGCAAATACAACCACTGTTAAAAATTCCTCTTGCTGTGATTGACCAACTGGTAGTCATTAATAGTTTATCATCTATGAATTATCATAATTTGTCACCAAATTTACCGTAGTATATGAGTATAATAGTATAAAATTTAAGGAGTCCTCTATTATTAAGTCAAAAATATGAGTACAAGCATTTGGAAAGCTTGATAATAATATCAATATTATGTGCCCTAATAAACTAATTCTTATGAAATAATAATGTAGAAAGCATTTAAATGATAATAATAAATCCCTTAGCATTCAATTTAACTCAATACTTAACAGTGGCTTATATTACTAAAACTAAATTGCACGTCATAGCTAAATTGTTGTTTTACTATATTATATCAAAAAATATCACTGAATAGGATATCTTATTCAGTTATTTGTGGCATTTTTCAGATCGGAAGCTGTCCCTATCACTAACATTTACTGGATAGCTTTTTCGAGATAAATTGTTGCTGCAAAGAGTTGAAATCCCAAATCTATCTGCTGTATTTGTAGCCATTGATGAATATATGTATAAATGACTTGACGTCGAGGTACTCCATTAAAGACTGAGGGATGAAGTAATACTTTTGTAATTTTACAAGTTACGTTTATTAACTTCTATTCAAATAGAATTATTCGAATTACTCTTAGCAATGTAAGAGGTTACATACCACTAATGTTCTCCACGATCGATATCTCATGAGCTTCGCTACTCAGAACCTAGAGCGTATTTCTAGAAACTAGGATGAGAAAAGCTTCTAAAATTCTAAATCCTTGAATAATCACCGATTGCATGATATGCACAGTTATAAGTCTGTAGCCCTTCTCCTACTGATTCGTTACAGATATATTAGATCACCTGACTGGATATAGTTCTCTCATGGTAACAAGTGCTAATACAACTATACTATCTTGAGTTGTACAGTAAAATGATATCCGTGCGTATTCATAACATTACTAAGTTAGAGGATACAACATATACTGTAAATTATATCAAATTGCAACACCGTTTTTGATTTACTTTCTTCCGGTAAAATAAATTAGCTAAATAATACCGCTATCAGTAACGCTTGCGCAGCATTTATCAACCTTGCTCGGATATGTTTTTTTAATAAGATGGAAAATCGCTCTGAGACTAAAATTATAACACATTACTTGTATAGATTATATATTACTGAATTTAAGACCAAGATCGCATATGTATATACTTGTATATCTCAAATTCATCCTGTAATATAACTGTAGCTATTCTAAAGATATTACATTGACTACAGTTATTCCCTTCTAGAACAATAGCAAGATCAAATCTAATAACCATCGTTGTTTTATTCGATCTAAAAGATATTGTGCTCTTACACAGCTGATCTACTCAAAGTAACTTACTACGAAAAGCAATATTTTAATAATAGTGTTCGATAGTAAGGCATCGAAGTTAGAAAAATAAATAATTTTTAAACAGGGATATAATGGATGCATCCTACCTGGTAGTCTATTGTTGATTTAAATAAAATCAGACGAAATCATTACTTTAAACATTTTTTATCTACGTAAATACTTAATTATTACCATATATTTATCATTAATAGCGTCTGTGTCTTGATGTTAGTCGATTAAATCGAGCTTGATATAGCCATAGTTTGATTAGTTCGTTTAAAATAGGTTTACATGGAATTACGCCTGAACAATCGTATTCAATCAATAGAATCTTAAATCCATTCCTAATTATAGATCAAATATCAGATCATTTGCCTCTTATAGATAGTTATTTGTAGCTTAAAAGAGGCCAAGAAGTTTGTTCACAAACTGCGACTCAAATCTATTATAATCGAAACTAGACTGCTTCATACTCATATATTACTATTACATTGATCTTTGGACTAGACTTAAAACAGCCCGAATGATGATTGCAACGGGTAACTATAAGTACTTGCTTATTAATTAATATTTTATCGAGGTCAAAATTACCTCATTATAGTGATTAAGGTCTTTTGTCAATTGGATTTTATTATTTTTGTTTATGTGATTTACAAAAATAAATATTAGCTTTTATTGATATGGCATCAAATAAATGATAAATATCGCTGATTTCACATAGGCAAATCGTTGTATTAGGTTAGCTATATAATAACAAGATTGCTGTCTCATAATATTCATAAGTTTAAACATTCAATAATTACTCCAAAGTGAATATTTTGATTGGTTCAATATGAAGAATTTCTTGGCCTGATCGTCTGATATAATTTATAAACAACTATCGTGTATTTCTCTCAGGTATATTATATTAGCTAAATTTATCTATTTGGACTACAAGGCCCTTCATTAACTATATTTGGATAAGGACTATTTCACTACTTTCATTCATTAAGAGAGTTTAAATATAGAGAATTCGGTATTTCTCCCGATGAATGATAGATTAAGTGATTAATTCACTGTTTATCATCTGATCAGCCGCAAAGAAACTATTTAGCTATATCTCATCGTATCGATTAACAAGATAATTGTCCTCTACGCGTTTAACAATAACAGGATAATAATATAATTCTCTAGAACAGAATTTACTATATCGCATTCTAAGAGAGCTTACTGTTACGCAATTTTTTCGATTGGATTAGCTCGTTAATAAACTAATTGAAGAGATTTCACTGTATCTTGCGACATCTAAATTATCTCAGTTGTTGTTTATTTTATATTAATACTAGCGAGTTTTAATTTAGAACGGAAATTTAGATTTAAATTGATCTAATCTAAAATCTAGCAACATTGCGCACATTATTCATTGGATCGGAAGACTAAACTGGCGTCGATTGAATCCTTACTAGCTTAAATCTATAGATCAAAGATCGTATTGCGATATTATCCGAGAATTCCTAATTACGGTAAAGTGCCTATATGCTCATAAATTAGTGTAAAATTCCGCTGATTACCTGGATAACTATACAAAATAATTAATTAAATTTCTATACTTCACTGGTATTAATTAAATAGCTTCGCCGTTAATTTCTATTACTATCTACAAGTATGCTATCGTCCAGGATTTAATCTAAAATATAATTTTGCTAATACATTAAAAATTTACCTTAAATAATATATGTTGAGTCACTGACTACTTTTATTCTTTTTATGGTATTAATTACATCATATTTTATTCATACTTTTAGTTATCGAAATACGAGTTTACTGTGATCGTTCGCCTCTTTCAAGCGCTATGGCAGCCTTAAATCTCACTTTTAATTTCGAATTGATGAATAGTAGCGAGATATTAAATGATACTTGCCTTAATTGTACTGTAGTCCCAAATCGAAATCTTCGAGCCCAGCTGTATCTTACGGCATTCATTTCTTTCATTGGCATCGGTCTCAATCTTGCTATCTGTTACGCCATTAGGAAGAAGAAATTAATCAGCTCTTCCATCTATACTTTTATTTTCAGTATCAGTATATCTGATATTATTACTTTGTTCGGTTTAATCCTTAATGCATTCGTAAACGTTCAACCTGGCCAAGCTACCATAATACACCATATTGTTTGTAAGTGTTCAACATTTTTATCAAGCATGAGCTTTACTGTTTCTGTTATGTGCTTAGCAGCTTTGGCAATCGATCGTTACTATATTATGCTTGATAAACAAATTTATAAGGCATCATTAAGAGGAAATTCACGAAATAAAATAGTAATAGCACTCATCTGGATTTATGCGGCTGCAACCAATAGTCCTCAACTTCATTTAGTACAAGTTACTGTTAATGGCACTTGTGACGTTTACTATTATGGCGATAATTATAATCTACCCTATTTTGTAACTGTTTTAATATTGAATTTTTATATTCCTGTAGTAGTTATGATCATAACTTATAGAAAAATCATCTTACGCTTAAAAGTACCTATGGTGAACAGTCATCTAGATACTTCTTCTTCTTCCCATAGAGATAATATTCAAGTGAATCGTAGGCGTACAATATCTACTATTAAAATGATTGTTGTTGCTACTGTAGTCTATATGATCACATCTCTTCCAGTACCTGTTATTATGGTAGCTGCTGCTGCCAAAAAAATCACAGTAATAGAATTACGCCAAAATGCTCATCCCGCTTTATCCGCATTGATTACAGTTGGCTTATCGATTTCAGTCATTTGCTGTATACAAAATCCGATCATATATTTAATATTTAATAGCACATTACGAAGCGCTTTACCAAAATGGTGCCGCTGTTGTCATTGCTGTAGTAAATATGACGATGAAGGCAATACAATAATTATCCAAGTCAGTACACAACAACAAAATTTTCCTTCTACGAAAGTCTAACGATATCTAATATAAAAGGATAAAAAGAACGACGAATCCTGGGAAAATGACCGTTACCTTCCAGGATCTATCTTGGACAGAGATGACTAAAAGAAAATGTCTTAAACAGTGTAGATTAAAATTACTGTAATTAGCTGAAATCAAAACATACAGAAATTTCTAATAATGCTAATCTCCTGACGTCGTATTGCATCACTATCAGTTATGCTTTCTCTTGATTTATTGATCGGAAACGATTCTATCAACGATGTCAATTTGACCACTTTAATAATAATTTAAGACCATAAGCCTGTAATATGAAGATATTGTATGAGCATAAGCATCGCAAATATATAAAAACAATAAATGATAGCTTCTACTAGTCTTCTTTCTTTTAGTATTTCTGCTTTCTACACTGCGTAGATTCTAGAAAATTTGACAGATTTTGGACACGATTTATAAATTATCGTATGCAATAAAAAATAACTAATACTTTAAACTACCCAAATAGGCACGGTAATACGACAATAAAATTTGAGATAATTGAAAGAAAGTTAGTTTATTACTCATTAGAACTTAGAAAAACCTTTAACAATATCAAGTATCTAACAACGTATCTACTATAGTTCTACGCCTAGTAACCCTTAATTATAACAAAAAATAAGCTTAGTTTCTTTAATAGCCTAATTAACAGTTGTTCGCATCAATAATTTTTAAACTAGTTCTGATATACAACATATTAATTCTTTCTATATTAACGATTTATATCAACCATAGAGCATTGATGCAATTGTCAATGTAGGCGCAATCTTTTTACTGGTGTTTAACAATTTTGCTGTTTCTAACAAATTCCTTTAATGAACTAATATTGTTTACAATCAAGATTTAAATTCTATATCCTTTATAATTCTCCACTACTAATTATTTGGCGTACAGTAAAGTGTTACGTAAAATTAATTAGGACTAATTTTCTTTAAAAACAGAAAAATTAAAAATAAGATTTTAATTGTATCATTACACCGTAACACCTTCATTAATGAAGAGCTATGGTAATAGAAGATGATAACTTATAGGAGTTTGTAAGTCGATTAAATAAGGTTAAAGAATGTCGACCTGTCACAAAACAACTTTCGCGATCGTACCTAAACTAGTCTATCTACTCTTATGGTTCTCTGACTAACTCCCGAGATCCTCAGTAAGAGAAAACTAACTTATTCCTGTACTATTGTAATCCAGTCAAACGATAGGTTTAGGTTAATAAATATATTTATTACTGGCCCGTTTACGTTTGCACCAGTGTACTCTACGTTAGCCTCATGGAACTCAGATTAAAAATTAGTAATCAAGCTTATATACAATTTCATATGTCACACAAATAACCTCGGTGCTAATCTTTCACGTTAAATTATGTAATGTGCAATACAGGCTTACTATAGACTAGACCGAGTGCTAATTAATACTTGTCACTAATTAATATTAATTAGCAAGTTCAATTATTTATCACACATTTATGGTGCAATCTCACCATTAATTCTATTGCCTACTTTGGCATAATTAATTAATAATTAATTAATAACAATAAGCATATTATAACTCAATTCAAAGTCATAAACAATAATAATAATCAATTAACAGTTGAGAATTGTTGTCTACTACACGACAATCTCTAATAATATTATTTTTAATCACACGACAGTATATCATTACAGCTATTCTACTATCGCAAATTACTACTAGTTATATGCAAGGAGCATCAAGCTCAGTAAAACGACCCTTGTCTTTAACTCAAAACTCTATAATTACTTTCCAATCTTGGCAACTGCGAGACTGGTATTGTGTTGCTGTTCCTCCTGACGATTGGAGACCGTCAGTATTTAGAGTTGTAAAGTAGGTTAATGTCAGGGAGGGCAAACCTGACAGTAGACTCATAGTGTGTAGTTTCTACGATATTTTAACTTTTTCCTCGTTACAAATTTCGTACAGCTATATAGATACTAGACTCAAAATGATCATTGTAAATATATATTAAGTATAAGAATATTCTTGTAACTTTTTAATCATTATTAGCTATAGTTTATCATCTATAAGCTATAAAAATTTATGACCGACTTTACAACAGCAAATTATGGCATAGAACGTAAAGAATCTTATACTATCGAGTCTAAAGTATAACTGCAATCACTAGTAAAGCGTGATAATATCAATATCATATACCTTAATAAAGTGATATTTTAGAAATAACACAGGGAAATGTTGAAATGTTAATAATAATAATAATAATAATAATCTCCTTAGCATTCAAATACTTAACTCAATACTAAGCAGATCTTATATTACAAAAATAGAATTTCATAGCATATTTAAAATATAGTTTTTACTTTATCGTAAAAATTTATTTGTGTCGCTTTTCAGATTAGAAACTACTGCTATTACTAACATTTACTAAACAGCTTTTTTCAAATAAATTTATAGCTTCTAGAGATGGTATCACAAATCCGCCCTTTATTTACTCCGCCATATGATAAATCTAATAAATATAATTGCTATCAGTAGCGCTTACATAGCACTTATCCTCCCAGTTCGGAAATATTTGTTTAATAAGATAGAAAATCGTCATAAAATAAGGCGTGCAACATAGTACTTCTATAGAGTAAATATTACTGAATTTGAGATCAAGATCGCATCTGGATGTACTTTTATATGAGCATCTCAAATGCATCACGTAATATATGACCCTAGCTTTTCTTAAGATATTCCATCAACTACATCTAATTCCTTCTAGAACAATAACGAAGTCAAATTCAATAACCATCGTTATTTTATTCGATCAAAACGAAATTTACGCTTGCACAGCTGATCTACTCAAAGCAACTTATTACGAGAGCAATATTTCAATAATAGTCTTCGATAGTTAGTTATGAAAGTTAGTGTAGTAAATTTTAAACAAGGATATAATGGGATGTATGCTCCGTTGTAGTCTATTGTTGATTTAAATGAAATCTGATCTAATAATTCTTTTAAACATTTTACATCTACGTCAATGGTTGATTATCACCATAGATTCATCATTAATAGCGTCTGTGTCTTATCGTTAGTCGATTAAATGGAGCTTAATATAGCCATAGTTTATTTAATGCATTTAAATTGGTTTACAAGAGATTACACCTGAACGATCGTATTCAATCAATAGGATCTTTGGTCTATTCCCGAATATAGATCAAATATCAGATTATTTCCCTTTTATCAAAGGTTATTTGTAGCATGAAAGAGGTCAAGAAGTCTGCTTACAAATTACCATAATGCTAATCTTTCGACTAGACTTGAGCCAGCTTGAATGATGGTCGCAATGGGTAACCATAACTCTTACTTATTAATCGATATTTTGTTAGAGGTCAAAATGACTTTATTATAGTGATTAATGCCTTTTGTCAGTTGGATGTTATTATTGTTGTTTATATAATCAATAA